GTGAGTGGGTTGTGTGTGGTGTGTGGGAGAATGTTGGTCATAGCCTCTGCTGCTACTCGATGAGGGGTGGGAGACGATAAGAAAGAGAGGCGCAGATACTGGCAAAATGCTTGGTCTTTGCGTTAGCCAGACCCCCACCAGCAGCCCCACCCTATCTCTGACTACCGCTGTTGGGGCGGGGGGCAACATGATTAACCTCGTTTGCGAGGTGCTATGCTTGCAAGGGTCCCCTCTATACAGTCTTAGGAGTAGGTAGTGAAAGGCAAAAAATAATTTGAGAGAAGAACGTAGTGTAGTTAAAAAAAAAAAAAAAAAAAAAAAAAGGGGAACCGGTAGCACAGGACCACAAGTCCATGAGGGCTACCGGTAGTACAGTGGGGGGAACTGGCGGAGTGGCAAAATTCGAAAATGCATTGAATTACCCCCGTGATTTATTTCATGGTTCAAATGATTTTATTTTTTTTTTTAATATTTGTCTTGTAAAGATCATGACCAAATCTATTGATCCTCGAATTTTCAGAATTGTTGGGTCGTCCTTCTGATTGCAAAAAATCGCGAAAGTTGGGTTTCTTTTCCTGTTGGCCCATACGTGGTAGAGTGGCAAAAATTAAAAATGTGACGAAACAACGCGGCATTTACTTCACCGTTTAATTTATTTTTTTTTGCATTTTTCTGGTATTTTTCCTGGAAAGATCACGGCCTAATCCACAGGATATCAAATTTTCAGATTTGTTTGCCAATTTGTCTGAGCGCAAAAAATCGTCAAAGTTCGTGCTTGAAAATGTTTGGCCCGGACCCGCCTGCGCGAGCTGGTCGTCGCCCCCCCTAAGAACCCAGTCCGTAAGGCCAGGAAAGTCCATTTCAGGCCGGCGGGGGTCACATTGTGCGATGTTAGGGGTTGGACACACAGGCACATCCTGATGTGCCAGGAGCCTGACGTCGGATACACTCCAAAAGACAACAGCCCCCAGGAGCAGACAGGGACTCAGTCCACCGAAGTGGTTATCTCATCGGGCAATTGGGTATTTCAAAATTTGTGCGTGGGTTCGAACCCCAACCCAACCACTGTGAATGAACTTCAAATACTAATATATATAATATTAGTATGTGTGTGTGTGTGTGTATGTGTGTGTGTGTGTGTGTGTATGCGTGCGGCGGGCAGGTGGGCAGGGGAGCAGGCAGCCCACAGCTCCTTGGTTTTGTCGTCATCCGCGTCACCTCTTTTGACGCCGGACGCTGAAAAATGCCCAAAGAAGACGACGGAAGAATAAAACAAAAACGAAAGATGGAAAAAAAAAAAAAAAAAGGCAAACCAACCGAGAATTGAAAAAATATATATATAATTTGTTTGTAATTTAAAAAAAAAAAAGGGACGCGCCGCAAAACGACACTTTCTTGCTATCGGACGGCGGACACTTCCAGATATTCCCTCGCATCGATGCCCGACGCCGCTGGACCACGTGGGTGAACAATTCGGTGCGCGCACCGCTCTGCACGCCCCCCCTCCCTCAATCGCCTTCATCCGCAGACCCGAATCAAAACTTCGGCCCGATTCTGACGCGCAGCGGAACACAACCTCCCCCCGCGGGCCGCTCGTGCTTAAGGGGTGGGATATATACGTTCACCACCTGTTCTCCCTCTCTCTCACTACATATGTAAAACATCAACCACCTCTGCTCCCTGTTGTCCACGTCGCGAAGCACCGCGACACGTGTTTCGGGTACCTATATCAGTGACCTATATGGAGGCCATCACGACATATGGTGGTGAGGACATGTGTGAGATAGAGGCAGTCATGGCTGGGAGGATGACATAATGAAAAAGAGAAAGAAATTCAAATGCCACACCAAGAACGGATGAAGCACAGAATGCAAAAATAAAGAAAAAATAAATACATAAAAAAATAAAAAGATGTGAATCCGTCTGACGATAAGCACTTGGACATGGTGTCTTCAACCACCCTCCGCCCCCCCCCCTGTGTCGTTCAGGGTGCAGATGTCGATTGTCCCACCAACAAACCGGACAGCATAATTGCAAAACACTGCAAGAGCGTGTTGTTCTCGTCTGCCATGGTCTTGTTGATGCCAGCCATGGCATCAACAAAACTGCCGGACAACTTATCAGTTTGCCTTTCCGTGGCATCCACGAGAGTGTGGGCGACGTCTACGAACGTGCCCCCCCCCCCTCCCTCTACCGAACTCTCCGACGGCGAACGTCTGACGTTCCCTCTCCCCCCACCACGTCGAGCGAATTTTGCTCCGTCAGCACTATCGTTGTCTTGTTTCCGGCCACCGCCACCTGTGTCCTCCCCACCGCCCATGTTAGAGCTCTCCTTGTCTGTGTTGGACGACCCTCCTTGCAGATGCACACTCTGCATGAGACCACTGCAGTGTCCATCTGCTTCCACAAGCTTCCACTGCAGTACTTCGTACAACTCGCGTTCAAACGTCAACAGAAGTCCTGCCTCCTTTCGCACATCCCGTGACGCATCCCAGTACGACGGCGCGCCACTTCCCTCCGAAATCACGGATCCTCTTTGCGCCGTCTAGGAGCCCGTAGTACTTCCTCTCGCATTCGTCCAAGGTGCGCTCGCCATACCCTTTCTCGACAAGCTTCTTCACAATCCACTCATGCTTCTCCTTCCTGCTTCTCATCTGTTGCCTGCCTTTTTTCTTTTGCTGCATACAGTCTTCTTCAAAAAGCAGTTTCAGCAGTGCGACGCTCTCCCCTAAACCCCAATCCGCACCTCGGACTTTGGGCTTGTCCCCGCCACGCCCTCCCCCACATGCCCTTCTGCCCTTCTTCCTCACTTCTCCACCCACCCCGTCATCCGTTTTGCCATCATCGCTAATGTCGACTGTCACATCACTCGTGCTTTGCGTACCAGCTATGTCGGCAATGGGTGATGTCCATGTCTCGCCCATTCCAGCATCCTGCTTGTCCATATCCTCACCCAGATCGGCGACCGATTCAGAAGGATCATTTCCCGTTATTTCGGAATCGACGACATGAAGCCGCTGACCGTCATGACTGCGGAATGCGGCATCCAAAGGCATGGACTGCGCAGTGCCTCCAACCGGTGATGGAGGAGGCGGTCTTGAATAATAGAGCATGGGGGTGGCCCCACCTACCCCCGCATGCATGTGCCCAGCAGCGCTAGCAATGTACGATGTATGTGCCAATGATCCAGGCCCCCCCGCAGGCACCTCTCCTTCCCCGTCGGGTCCCATGGTTGGTGGTGAGTGTTGCCACTTACCTCCACGTGGCATGCCCCACCCATGATACCCACCACAGCTCCCATACGATTCTTCATCTCGCCGCGGTCCAAGGCTATCACCTTCCGCGAGGAGGACAGTCATAGATCGAGGCTCTCTCCCCACAGCATAAGACGACCCACCTCCAGCAGGCGACGGAGGTCGATAACCTGGGACGTACGTGGCAGGGGTCGATGGCGAGACATCCGCCATGCATGTTTCAACAGGCATCGGGGACGGGGACGGGGACGGGGAGAGGGATGGCGAACGGGGTTGTAAAGTGTGACGACCACCGTCCATGCCTTCACTACGAAGCTTCTACACATGGGATTTCGACGCACCTCCGCGACCCCAGCAATGACACGTGGCTATGATAGACGCGTTGAGGAATCGTGGATCTTCGACGCCTGGATCACGTGAGAAATGAAGGAAGTGCTCTGCGTTATGGCTGCGACGATAAATAAACCGATTGGACAATGACGCGACATGACCCATGTATACGGTGGGCTTCCCGGACGGCTAAACATTCAGGTTGCTATTCTGTTGGCACTTGCTGAAGTGCCAATGAAGTGGGACATCCAGACCCCCAGGG